CAGAGCTCAAGCAGCTGCACAGCAGGGAGTGTGGCTGTGTGGGGGCTGACTGTGCTTTTCTTCAATAAGCAGAAACAAATGAGAGGGAAAAAAAAACCAACATTAAAAAATGATGAGTTGCATTGTAAATATTGCTGCACAAACAAACTGAACTGATGAAGTTGCAGTTTTGTCTCATGTCTTGTCACCACTAAAGCACATACAGTGCACCACAGAGCTGAAGTCACATTGGTGTTTTCAGCTATGATAAAGTCCTTGGGATGTCTGATGTATCTAACTGGTGTCCAGTTTGCTGCTGGTGGCTGGTATGATTTACAGTGCAGAGGTAAGGTGATCCAAAACAAAAATCTGTGAGTGACACTGCTAACTGAACTGTTACTTGCTTAAACTGAATTTCACAAATTATTATAGCAGGTTAATAAAGCACATTCAACAAATATCCAAACGGGAAGTGGTCACCATAAAAATATAAAACATAGCCTTAGCAAGAATAAAAAATTTTAAATACTGCATTTCATCACCAGGATTTCATGCAATATTATGCTTCTAAGCTTCCTTATAATCAGATTTTCTTTCTGGTTTTTGGCCATAGGCACACTTAATGGGGCACTTTAAGAACATATTGAATTTTAAAAAGGACATGGCAAATAAATGGCATTTATGTTTTATCAGGTCCTAATTAAGTAATGAGGGAAATTGAATTTATCTTTTATATACTGATTAATGAAGAGCACTGTGCTGATTAATGAAGAGTACTTTATGGAGACAGAAAATAATTTTAACATAATTCAGAAATGTAAAGAATTGTGGACATGGAATGAACCACAAAACTCATCACATCCATTCTTCTGACCAAAGAAAAGAAGAAGTTTTACCTCCACAACACCATTTTTGAGTCACAGCTTGTTTGACATCCAGTATAAACTAGCTCTTACTTCACCTGCCATTTCTTAGCCTTTGTTTCACTGAGGTAATTACTCACACACAAGTGTGAGTAGGTCTTCAAAAAGTAAAAATTTGCTTAAGGTTCAGTAAGGACAAGTGCAAAGAAGGCTCTTTGAATTCAAATTCTGTTCTGATAAAGTTTGTGACTTGCTATCATATAATGATGTAACTAAACATTATTTCTATCTTATGCTTCTCTGTAATAAAAATATAGAACAGCATTAGAAGCAGAATTTACCTGGAATTCATTCAGAACGTTATCTGTCTTTGAAAGTGAATCCCTGGTACATTTTCAAGAGCAGCTATATAAGTTGTTCATATCTCCTGTATTTATTACACTTAAAAATGCCACCCTAGCTCGATTTTGAAAATGTCATGGGAAATAGTATCAGAAGTCATCCAAAAGTCAAGATGACTTCTGACAACTCATGTTTTTCTACCACTAAGCTTTGTTAGCATGTCAAAAAAAAAATTGTTATGACATGATTCATTCTGAACTGCAATGCTGGATGATATTTATCTCCTTGTTATCATCTAGATGCTTAATGCTTTTTGATTATTTCTTCAGGTTTTCCATTTATATTGTCTGTTTCAAAATTTGCTTCTGTTTTCTTTAAATGGTGTGACGTTTTCCCTGTCCTTCACGAGTCCTTACAGGAAATCTCAGAAATCATTTCACTTGGCTCTCTACTTAAGATGAAATTCATATAGCTCAGCTACTTTGGAATCATTTAAATATAGATTTATCTCTGCTCTCTCTAGGCTAATCCACGTTCTTAAGCCATTATTACTAATGCTAATGGTGTTAACACAACCCAGCATCCTAGTGTACACTAACACAAAGATGACATTAAGTAATTTGGGTTTCTGTTTCTTCAGAACAGTTCTGATAATATTCCCTCCTGACTGAATGGAAAACTAGTTCCTTGGTCACCATAGGGCTCCTGCACTTTTGGAAACTTTTATTACCCAATATTCAGATTTTGCTTGTCCAAACTTGTACACATTGTATAGAAAACAAATATTTCTCCATCTCCTACAAGCTTCCTTTCTGAGGAGGTTCACATGAACCTTGAGTTCTCTTGGTGTGTTCTTCTCAACACATTAACCCATATCACAGAGAACAAGATGTGACAGGTAGACATGTTAATACCAGCACATTTGCAGCGAGCTTACCTGTATTTCTACTAGAGTCTACAGCTTCCCCTATTATAATTCAACATAAAGGCATTAGACTCAAGATATTTTTACTCACTTCTTTCTTCAAGGTACTTTAATCTCTGTCTTCACTTTACTGATCCCTGGTACTATATTCTGAAGGTCAGTATCTGAGTTCTCTGCAATGATAGTCATAACACTAAGGAAAATATACAAATACTTATATTTTAAATTAACTTTTGCTTTCCATAATATTCTATAGCTACCATTTTGAATCAGATGCTGAAAATAATAATTATCCAAAGTTAATGGAGCACATTTTTGCTTCCAGTATTTTTCAGTCTCTGAAGACCTTTGTCTTTGAAATAATTAATTATGTTAGTGGTATTTCTGCTGTGAGTAAAGGTCACTCTACAAAACATGTGAAAAAAGCATCCAGGACTGAAGGAAATTATTAGACTTTAAGTTCCTTTGTAAATATTTGCAGTTTAAAAATGACTGTTCTGTGTAAATATATACACACTATGGAAAAGTATTTATTTCAAGAAACTAGTACTGTGCATTTGCAGTAGGGATCACTCAGTATGATTTTAGTTGATTTGTACAAACATCAAGGATAAATGCAATGTAATATATACCTGAATACAATACTTAGAGTGGATATAATGAATGTGACAAAAGATATTTTGAAAAAATAATTTTCTGGTAAATGTTAACAAAAGTTAAGAGGTAAATTAGCAAAACATGAATGTTACAGAGTATGAATCTGGCAACAAGTAGCTGATGCAAAACTAATGAGCATATAATCCAATTTTGCAGCTTCTTCATTTTCAATGAAGCACTGAAGAAAAACAAATTAAAAAAGTATAGTCATTAAACTCACTGAGACAAATTAATTTTTGTAAACAGTAAACTACAAAGGATGCACATTATAAATGAACCTGATTAACCTGATTTTCTTTTTTAAAAAAGAAAATACACTTGAAATTGTAATAAAGAGCTTCAAAAGAAATCTATAGAGTTTATTGCACTGATTTGCTGTATCTTAATGTGTTTGCAGTTAGTAGTATAATTGAGATTGCCCAGACAGAAACACATGTGCACGTACAGTGCACACGCACAGTGCATCTGAGGATTTCAGAAGCATCAGGTCTGCAGTTTCTCAGGTGACTATAAATACACTTCAGGGCTGACATAACTCAGTTATACCAGAAATAATGTGTCTGCAGAGCATAAATTGTCTCCCATATCCAGTGAGCCTGGCAGGGCCAGACCTGAACAAATACCTTGAACTCTGGTGCATCTGAAAGGCATCAAATACACTGAGGATCTGAAGGCTTTTGACCTACCAGTGCCCAGGAGATGCCATGTTCCAAATGGGCTGTGGGATGCCTATAAATGCCATCCAGAAATCCAGAAAGCTTCACAGTGGTAGATTTTCAGATGGAAAAAGAGCTATGTCTGTCAGACACACAATAGCCACACCAGCTGTGATTCTGTTCTGTACCATTCTGAAAAGCACTGCTGTACAGTAACTTTCTTGTATTGCAGAGGGGATGGAAAACTCTATTGTGTCTCAATCCAATATTACATTATAATTTGTTTTCTAATTATTCCCCTTGAATTCTAATTAGCTATTTAATGAGGTATGGTTTTTGAAAATGTATGATCTAACTTATCTCTATTTTCTGATAATATTACTTATTCAACCTGATTTACCCTTTTTTATTTCTATATTTTCTGAAATAGATTTTCAATTGTGAATTTAATCCAATTCTGCTAAATATAATATGTCAATTTAATGAAGAGATTTTATCTTCCCTAATCATTTATGAATATGCATTAACAGTAGCAAAGACAACCAGTAAATTTAGTTAACCAGCTGCCATTATTTCCGAGCTAGGCTTGGAAATTTAAAAACCAGGTGCTTTACATTTTAATAATCTAAAATATTAAACTAAGAAGAAATTCTTCTAAAAAGATCTTTAACTAAAATAGTGTTGAAGATTGCAGAATTTTCAAGATATGTGATATACATGTATATCAAAAAATACATTACTATTTTATTAAAAGCAGATGAAAATAAAAATAAATGTTTTTCTAAGAAAATATCAAAAAGGCATTTTAATCTGCAACATGATCCATATTAAAAGGCAGTAAGGATCAATCTTTTTAAAAAACAGTGAGATAAAGAGAAACTGTGTATATAGTTTGATGGGTATTTATAAGTGGAGCATTTATTCTGGAGTGGGAGGAATATTATAATATACGTTTCCATGAAAAGGTGGAGAAATTAATTAGGTTTTATTATTTACATTCAGATTCTAAAGGCTATATAATGTACTGATTTCATCAGCTTTTGCTTTGGTAACTTGTCTAGAACAATATGTTCCTTGTTAAATTGTCTTCCGATTCATTCCCATTTAGTAATGTAATCTAACGTACAAAGTATGAAGAGAAACAGAAATAAGACCTAAAAACATGTAATATCAAAAATTTCATATTTCAAGATATTTTAACTATTAGTATCACAGGGAAATAGGTTTGGTTTTTGTGTGTTCTGTTTGTGGACGATCAGGAGGCTGCATTTATCACAGGTCAATGCTGTGCAAACAGTGCATCATTGACACAAAAACTGATGGGAAGTGGAAAGCTCAGTAGCACCACCTACTACAACTAACTGGAGTAAACAGTTGGTTTATAAAGTTATGCAGCTTTATAAGTGAAAACTTGCAGATACCAAACAGGAAAAAATGGAAGAAGGCATAGTAAGACCAGGATCATGAGAGCTTTATAATTTTAAACATTTCTGTCATGCCATTTGAACCAAAGTCCTATGAATAATGTGATCAGCGTTTCTAAGGCTACACTCATCGTACCGCCTCTGTCCCTTGCAGGCTGTCAACCACCAGCAGCTCCCTGCTTGGAATGAACACCAATGGCTCAGATGAGTATTTCCAGTGTACAAACCACGCAGAGCAAACTTTCCGCAAAATGGAAAATTATCTGCAGCAGAAGCAGTTGTGTGATGTTCTTCTCATAGTTGGTGACCAAAAGATTCCAGCTCACAGGTACATTTCCCAGTATTGTTTACATGGCCTCAAAGCCTGAAATTTCCAAGTGCTAGGTCAACTCATGTCTACTCTGTTTAGTTATGAATGAACAGTTACTATAATTAGGACATCAACTAACAATGGAATAAAATTATGTGTTCAACGGTTCATATTCATTATTTCAGATAGGATGAAACTCAAATATGAACCATTGATATTGTCTATCTTCCCTTCTTGCTACTGTCAAATTATAATGAGATCAGTGAAAAAAGTCTGCCCCAGCAAGCACGAGGGGAAAATATTCGATTACTAATTACGCTTTTAACTTTATTGCTCACTGCTGTAAGATTTAAATCTTATGCTAAATATAATGTTTCTATTGCACACACTATTTATTATATAGTAAATATATCTCATGCTTGCTATTGAGAAGTAGTTTGCATGAAGTCCTCCTAAAATGTTTTTATTTCAAGGTTGGTTCTCAGTGCAGTGTCTGATTATTTTGCTGCAATGTTTACTAATGATGTGCGTGAAGCAAAACAAGAGGAGATCAAGATGGAGGGAGTAGACCCTGATGCACTGAAAGCTTTGGTGCGCTATGCCTACACAGGTAATCCTTCCTCCCTTACCCAGATCATTGTTGCAACGGAAGATAAGATCTATTCAGTGCGTACATAATTGTCACTTCTTCCATTTCATATTAGTACACACATACATAAATCATGCATACATGATATAAACCTTTCTCTAAAGAGGATGAATAAATATTACTGGTTTATATAATAACATATTCTAGGAGATATGCAGAAAAGTTACTGTATAAATTAATATTGGAAATCTATCTCTAACTATATAAAATTATTTTAGGAATCTTAATGAGAGAACATCTTTTGCCTGTTGCCCACTTCATGTAGTGACACAGAATAGTGTCCTATGAACTCTCCTCTCATCAGTAGCTATTGAAATGGTCTGCCTGGCAGTTATTTGGCTCACTCAAGGCTCTTGAGCAGGAATAATCAGAAGAAAAGAAGGAATATGATCACATGCATGAGTAGAGCAACTTTTAGCATGAGCTAAAATGTGCCACCACATTCTGAAAAAGGTTTACTTATGTTCTCTTGAAAAATTATAGAGTTTTTATCTTAATGAAATTACATATTTTATTTGACTACCAGAATACTGTAAATATATTTTCCCTAATTTATTTTCTCCCATATTCAACATTTATCCCTGTATTGCTGAATCCAAAACAGTTGAACCAAATAGCCAAAAAGACCAAGTCAGAGAACTGCGAAATCCCTTTCATCTGCTCTATTCTGAACAGGCAGCAGTGCTGTAGAACATGACCATTATGTTAGTATACAGTACAATTAGAAACATCCAGATCATTAAAACCTATGCAGATTTTGGAAGTCTGCACTTCAAGTTTCTGAGGCAAATGGATGTTGCAATGATATCTGGAAAACACAGTCATAAACCCCCCCAGTTCTTTTTTCAGAATAGGATTTTAGTGCTGTATATCAACTAGGGAACTGATCCATTCGCTGAGCAACAAGAATGGAAGATCTTGTTAAATTAACACCTTTCAGTCTATCTATGAACATAATAAAATTCTCACATCATGTAATAATTTTATTAAAATTTCAATGCACAAGTAGATGATGGAAGAAATCAGGTTTCCGGCACACACTGCTGGCATTTCCTAGCTTTTGATACTGAAGTTCTTGTGTGGAATATAAACTTATGACATATATTTTTTATGAATTAAGATATAAATTTTAGGAAAGGTTTTTCTCTAATCACACCTTTCTTTTTACTTTACTTTTTTTTTCAGGCAAAATGAGATCTAATATAGTTAAATCTCCAATAAAAATGTTCCAATCATTGCATTCAAAATCCACCAAATTCTTTAAGTCTGTTAAAACTTATGCTGAAAGAACCCTTCAGCAAGAAAGGAAAATGAATTTGTGAATCACAGGACACTTCTTTTCAAAATTCTTCAGAGGAGGACAGAAAATGGGGAGCGGGAAGCTTTCGAGTATTTAAAATACAAAGAAAATGACTGAAACCTTTTTTTTCCCCCTCCTCTCTATGTGCAAACTACACAGGTATTCTAGAGTTAAAGGAAGACACTATAGAAAGTTTGCTAGCTGCAGCTTGTCTTCTCCAGCTAACCCAGGTTATTGATGTATGCTGCAACTTCCTGATGAAGCAGCTCCATCCTTCCAACTGCCTGGGGATTCGCTCTTTTGGAGATGCTCAGGGCTGTGCAGAGCTGCTGAAGGTGGCACACACTTACACGATGGTAAGGTGAACAATCTAAATGCTTTGCAATTATAATCTTAACAGCAAGTGTGGATGCTCTGCTGGAAAACATGTGGGCTTTGATGAAGCAGAGGCAGCTGAGTAGGGCTCAGGGCTGCTGCTCTCTCCAAGACTGACATGGTGGCTCTGTTCTTTGTATGCTGGCGTTCCAAAAAATGTAATAGAGCCTTAACTTGGCTATTGTCAAGAGGCAAACAACAATGGCCCATTCTTATGCTTTTGATTCAACACAGAGAAATTTCTAAAGCTGATTTTAAGGTGAGATGCACATAAAAAAAAGAGCTAAAATAAAAAAATGTATGGGGAAGATTTGGAATGCTAAAAAGAAGCACATCCCTGACTGGAGCATAATCCTCCTCTGGCTCAAAGCAAGAAATGAATATTCAGAGCGTGGGAAACAGAGAAGCAAGATAGCTTGTTGTGAAACCAAATCAAGGGATAAATATTCAGAGCAATAAGATGTGCTATAGCAACTTTAAACACAAAAAGAATAGCAACTGCTACAGCTAAATAGATATAAAAAGAACTACTTGTTAGGAGATACATGGCAGCTTTATGCTTCAAATATTAGCAGAGTATGTCAAAACCAGTTTAGAGGCATCATGATGCTGAGAGCATTCCAGTAAGATATTGTATGCTTCCCCATGCTGAGATAAATGAGAGTGGCATGTGAAGATTGAGGGCACTGGTTGTGATCCTTCCTGTCATACTAATGACTGATTTATTTATCAGCTATCTAGATTCCTTCTACATTTAAAGGATTCTGCATTTGAAAAAGAGCATTTAAGATGGAGTTTCACGCAGCCTCTGTAATTGTGGTGCCCTTGTTGCTTCACACCATTTTATACTCAGCCAAAATCAGGAATTTCCCCCCTCTGCTATTGCCTCTTTTCTCCCAGCAGCCCTAGCACATGGGCATCAACTTTAGGTATTTAAAAATCATGGTCCTGATTTCTGCAAAATTGAAATAAATTCATATGGTTAGACATATGATTTTATGATGTCACACAATAAGAGCATCTTTTTTGGTTAGATTTTTAACCATTTAAACCCTCCAGTCTTCCCTAGGAGTTAGACTTTTACTGTTTTTTAAAACTGTGTGTCACAGAAATGCCAGTTGGACCTTTAAGAACACTGTCTCACGGGAAGGATCATAGCCATCTATGAGACTCAGCAGTACTGTACATATATAGACTTTACACCTTGTCTTGCTGAAAACAACCAGGAGCACTTCCACCTCTAGAACCACCTCCCGCATCTTGCGTGCAACACGGACTAAGAATGTTGCCATGGAAGAGGACCTTGCATGTCATAAAACCACCTACTAAGGTTGCAGCTACTGACAATTTAGAGACAGAAAGGGAAATCTGCATCTCTTTGAAATAACCTTAAAGAAAACTTTCTTTTAAGTCTTGAACTGATTTAAAAAAAACCCAAAACTTTGGAGAATAAGAGATCATAACAACACATACACACACAAGTGTTGTGGCAGGGGATAAATAAAACATTCTCTTTTGTTTCATACCAACCTCAACCACTCGAAAATGTGTACCTTAGGGGAAAGTCTATGAAGTTATACTGTAAATACAGAGACCATTCAAATGAGCTATTTTCAGAAGATAATCAGCTATAAACACCATTCAACAAAAACAGACACAATGGAGACCTTCCCCTTCAATTACTTTAGCTATTGATGCAAAGTATTAACAGTTTCCTGCCTGGTATTTTTTCGTGCAGATAGAGCTTGTTCTGATAAACATCTTGTGCTATATTTGTAACTGAATGTAGACTGGTCTTCCTCTTCCTATTCTCTGAATGTCATAAAATATTAAAGCAGGATACATGTAACAGAGCAAAGTTAACATCTCCTTTAATCACTGATACTTCTATATTTACATCCTTGGTACTCTTAAAAGAGTTACAGAAAGCTAAGAAACTACTGAAAACAAATAATACAAATATCAGTTACTGAAATTTCTTCATCTGCCTTATTTCCATCTGGTTCCCAAAAAAAGATATTGTTGCAACTCAACTGTACAATATATTATTTTTACAAAAAATAATTATTTGAAATATTCTAGGGGTTTAATATTTGTGGCCATTTCTGGAGGTGATGAGTTTTATCACAGCAATAGTCTGTTGAGACTTGTCCAATTCTCTATTGCCCAAAAGTGCTATTAGAATAGTGAGTTTCACGTCCTTTGCTTTATTTTCTGCTACTAAGAGTAGAGAGATACAGTCAACATCCAGCACAGCTCATTGCAAAAGGATTGGAAGGTTTCAATGTAATTTACTTAAAAAATTTGCACCTGATTATAACAGAAGTTACACAACTTATTTGAATGCCCACTTGGCATTCTTAAGATACACGTTATATCTTGAAATTGCTTTTCAATTAAGCTGCTGTGCTAAGATCACATTGATGGACAAAACTCCCAGTGGCAAATTCCTAAGACAAGACAGACTGACAAGAAACCTGACAAACACACCTGTAAGCATGGTGAAAATGATCATTATTCTTCAGTCCTGCAAGAGTAAAGCAGCAAAAAACAATTAAAATCTCCTCTGAATGGTAGAAGGAGATTCAGTGATCTTTAGAATATATATTGCATTTCCCTATACCATAGAACTGAGCTGGAATAAAATATATGCACAGCCTACATTGTCTAATAAAATGTTATTTCAAAGTGTGACAATCATCCAGGCATTGAAATATTTTTTTCTTTTTAGGAACATTTCACAGAAGTAATAAAAAATCAGGAATTTCTTTTACTCCCTGCAAATGAAATTGCAAAGCTCTTGTCTAGTGATGATATCAATGTTCCAGATGAAGAAGCCATATTTCAGGCATTAATGATGTGGGTGAGACATGATTTGCAAAACCGGCAACGAGACCTAGGAATGCTTCTTTCTTACATCAGACTGCCTCTACTCCCACCCCAGGTATGAAAGTGAAGGGCTAACAGGAAACTGAACTACCCACTGAAGTGCTTGACTCAAGCATCATTGAGACAGAGAAAAGAATTCTGTAGAAAGGTTCTGGTTTTGGCTGGAGTTTTTTAGTGGGGGGGTTGGGTGGGGATTTTTCTCTTTTAAAATTTTAACTAAATAGTAACATATAGTAGGTATGTTTATTATTTGTAAAGATAGATAAAAAAAAAAAATCACACAATACCAATGTAATTACTAAACTCAGAATTACCTCTGTCAAAATGTCAGTGTAACAATATGACAAAAGTGGAGTGTTTCTTTCTTGGGTAGCAACAGTGGTAGTTTTGCATTAATAACATGGCAGCTCAGATACCATGAAAGATATTTACTTAGAGTTACCAAACTGGAGAACAGATAAGGCACAATACTTATTTCTTTATTTCCATAAAAAATAGACAAAAAAAAAAGTCTAGATTGTTGCTGACTATTCTGAGCATCAACACTACTTGTCCTTCAAGACTGTAAGAGACACTTAACTGAATAAGTTCCAGAGATGGACGTACTGCTTCTTAGCAAGCTGACACTGTTGTATCTGTGTCATAGCAGAATATATCTCATCAGAAAAGCCTGTAGGAATATCCAGACTACAGGTACTTTATGGATCTCCATGAGTGAAGCTGCAAAGATTCAACTTTGGATTAAGAATCAAAATACTATTTAAATTTACTTTTAAATCTATGCCTCATTTAATGTATTCTAGTATCCATATAGATGTCCAGTACTATATGTTAGACTTGCTCATATCAAAAAGAGTTTTGCATTCAGAGGGTGCAGTACTACATTTGCAATTTTAACCTTTTCTAAAGGTTAAAAGAAAGATTCTGGAAAAAATAAAGCAAGGATGTAATACTTAAAGACCTTTTTTTTTCCTACCTTTATGTTGTTTCACTTACATTAAAGCAGTTTCCAGCAAAGCTTGAGAGGTGAACTAAGAATTTGTGTTTTAATTATTAAAGTACATACAATTTTAATGATTGACATATACATAAGATCCTCACTTTTCATTTCTTAGTTACTAGCCGATCTAGAAAATAGTCCAATGTTTGCAGACGACCTAGAGTGTCAGAAACTCCTTATGGAGGCTATGAAGTACCATCTTCTACCAGAAAGACGGTCCATGATGCAGAGTCCTCGAACTAAGCCTAGAAAATCTACAGTGGGTGCACTTTATGCTGTAGGAGGTATGGATGCCACTAAAGGTAAGTTCAGAAATTGATTGTATTAATTGTATTACAGACACTCAGAGAATATATGACAATCATTTAAAGATTTCTGTCAGGAAAACAGCCATTTATGGATGAAAAAGGAAAAAAAAAATCACAGAACACAATCCTATGTGTTAGATGTTCTTGCTTCCTGCAAGAATAACATTTATAAATTATATACATACATCCTGAAGTGCAGACTGAAGAAGTTTGACTCAGATGGTGATTTTAAAATTAAGTTTTGTAAGAATTTGTGTGTATAGCTTGACTTTATAACACAGAACAACAACAACAAAAATATTTCAAGATTCTTTTAACATTGTTTTAGAATCCTGTGCTCCATTTTTTGACAGAAGTTAGAAAGCTGGAAATTTTTTTAAAGAAGAGGAAAATAAAATCAAAAATCATTACTGAACTATCGAGAACTCTTAGCTAAAGCTTATCAGTCCTTATAACATTTTGGATGGAAAGGTTTGCACTTTTCTGTGAGCGCAACAGTATGTGCAGGTTTTTTTTTTCAGGACTTCATACACAGTTTTTTCAGGTTTGTAGCTGAAAGTTAAGTGTTATAAATGTATTCCAGTTTTTATTATTTGATTTTCACAACTGCAATCAGCTTACAGCTTTACACATTACACTATTCTGTTTAGCAGGCAGTATATTAAATCATTTTCTACAGGAACCTTAACTTCAAACCCACAGCTTGGAGCCAAGGAACTGTAATTAGTTTAAAGTCTAGTGACTTGCTGAACAGTATTACTTTTAGCTGTGTGAGTTCACCTTTAATAGAATCACAAAGAAGCTAATCCATTTCATGGTTTGCAAAAAATTGCTGATGACTGATTTTTCTTGTATGAGAGATCTTGCACTGCTACTTTACTGTCTCTGTGCAATCAAATCAGGTGCAAAATACACATTCAGCACCATCTCAACATGAAAACACTCCTTCCTAGGACAGTTTAGCAAAATGAAGTTAAACCGTACCAATTAGTGTATGTCATTAGTACTACTGTTTATTTATGAATTATATAAACCAAGCAAGAATTCAAGGTAATCTTTAACTTCTACCAAAATAAGAATAAACATTTTTAATAGGTCTTTCTCAGTAAGGGTTATTTCAGTCAACATCTGCACTTCCTGTTGGTGCCTCTTTTACTTATTACCTTGGAATAAAGCCAATTGTTTGAACTTTTGCCTTTTGATGGTTAAGAAGAACAGCACTTCCTCTCCTCCCTGCTGTCCTCTACAGCTCTGACTCATACTTTGAGCCTGTGCTGGATTGTAAGATAAAGGAAACAGCAACTAAGAGACTACGATGCACTGGAAGAACAGTTCTGAGAAGCAAATAACTACCACCTCTGGCAGTAATACGCTTTCTGTGATAAAGAAAACTCTCAGGGAAAGCCAGGTTTGGCTTTGTGCTTATCTCAGGTGGTATACGAAGTCAAATCTCAACTTCCAATGATCAAAAGAAGATCAAAGAGCTGCTTTTGGGCTGGTATTTTGAAAAAAATGTGAATATGCCTAAACTACATTAACTTTCAAAACCTACCTTCCAGCCTCTGTAAAAATTACAACCTACAGGGTATGTATGAACACACTGTGTATCTTAATGTATTTTTCCTGTTTTTTAGTTAGTGAGAGAGATACTCCTTTTGAAGCTGAAAACTTTGGGACACTCACAAATTAGCATAGAATAAATGAGAGGAAATCAAAGCAAAGCAGAGCAGTCTAGCAAAATGGAAAGCACAATCAAAGAAATTCAGTTGTTCAGAATAAAAGAAGATAGGAAAGGGGGGAAAGTAGAATTTCTCTCTTCTATTGCAGATGGATCTGGTAGTTTATTTCCCAGTCTATGCATCTGGAAAAGCATGTAGAGGAGAGAAAAGATATCATGAGATAAGCTCTTATTTCACTAAATTTATTGACTATAGCAAATGATCTCTAGCAGATCTCTAAACCAAATGCTACCTTTCTTTTCTGTTTTATTGCATGGTTGTTTTGCTGCTGTAAATCATTCCTGAGCCACTAACTGCCTATTGTAATTCTCAAAATACTACTTCTCTAGTCTCAAATCCCAGTCAAGGACCAGGCAGGAAATCAGCTCTGTTTTCCTCACCTGGTTGCCTTCAGTTAAGCTGAAGCTGTGCTCCAGAGTGCACTGTATGTGCAACTGGCAATTGCTTCTTCTACCTACTCAGCCATCTCCCCACTGTGCTCAATCAGCTCTCAAAGGAGCAATTACCACTGCTGGGTGACTGACAGGAGCCAGTGCATGGAAAAGTGTCAGGTTTGAATGGCAGAGATCTAGGGCCTTATGAATAGTTGCAGGAAGAACATTACCAGAAGTTCAGTGACCTGAAAAGAATGAAAATACAGTTTATATACTAGAGCAGACAAGCAGTTACTGCAAAGCTGCTGCAAAGATGAACCTCAGGGAAGCTACCTGTGGGAGCCAAGCGTGTACTCACACACATCTCTCTCTCTTCTGCCTGTCTCCATCATAAAAAGGAAAATATCCAAACTATTCATGAAGATGCATGCCCAAGTGCTAGGACAGAAACATGGATACCTTTTCCATTTTTGCTATCACTAATGGTTTAAGCACAAACATGGTTAAAGAGTACACAGTTGTGAATATTCATATTCATAAAGAATTTTAAAACCCACCCCAACCCAAAACACTAAAACCCTACCCTCGTGGTATTTAAATGAGTAACAGCTTTAACTTTCAGTATTTCAGTATTAAAAAAATTAGTTGTGAGGTACCATATTCATAAGGAATTTAATATCCCACCCCAACCCAAAACATTAAAATCCTACCCTCATGGTATTTAAATGAGTAACAGATTTAACTTTCAGTATTTCAGTATTAAAAAAATTGTTGGCATTTAATTCTGCATCTTCTGGCCCCGTGTTTATTCTTATAGATTTGACAATCAAATATACAGGCAATTAATGCAGCTTTCATCAGCTTTGCATTTCGTAACAGAAGTTCTCGGGGAGCCATCGCAAAAGTCCACACACAGAGTTTCAATGTTTTACAATGTAATAATGTTTTGGGTTGTACTGACTACTGGCTGCTGGATACTGATCAGTTCATGCCTATCTCATAATATTTATGTTTTAACAGGTACCACTACAATTGAAAAATATGACCTTAGGACTAACAGTTGGATACAAATTGGTACAATGAATGGTAGACGATTGCAGTTTGGAGTTGCAGTAATTGACAACAAGCTCTATATTGTGGGAGGAAGAGATGGTCTGAAAACTTCTAACATTGTTGAATGTTTCAACCCTGTCACCAAAGTTTGGACTATAATGCCTCCTATGTCAACACACAGGCATGGCCTAGGTAAGAGGCACTCTTTCTTTGCAAATACCTTGCATCACATACAAATGAATTTGGATTGACAGAAGCACTGTTGACATAAATTTTAAAGCATTTCATAACGCACAGCAACATTCGTAGAAGACATTTTTCAAAGACAGAGTTGCCTATTACCATAATTTTATGTCAGTGATATTTGTTAGTATTCACCTAACTTGCACTGGTCTTGCAGAGTTAATTTTGCTCTTAGAAAATTCTAAAATACAAGCAGCAGTGAAAATGATCAACTCTTCGTCCAATTTAGAGGTCATGATATACGTTTAAAATAAAATAACAATCTGATTTTCAGTATTTTTTTAAAAATTATGACTTAAGTTGAGCCTACAGGTACCTGCCTACCTCTGAAAATCAGATCAGAGAATTATTCACACTGAAGAAAACATTGTGGTAGGGAAATAAGTACAACTTCACTAATTTTATTGTTGTAATTACAATAAGTTTAACAGAGCTCTGCTATGGCTTAGTGTCTACGGGTCTTCACTGCACAATAAACCTTAATATAATTCACAGTGAATGAATAACATTAATATGAAATCTAGAAGCTATTTTTAGAACTATAAAAACTAAGGATAAATTTACATTTGAGGAGACTGTAAGGGAGGGAATATGATGATCTCTGAATGATTTATATATCACAGTTCTAATGAAAAAGCTGGCTTCTCTTAAGTTCACAGAAACAGGTATGGCTGGAAACCATCGGTAAGTTCAGGTGATGTAGAATATTTTTATTCTAATGAATAATAGAAAAAGATTGAGCCAGAATTATTCAGTAAACCTCTGTGGGCTATATCACCTTCTTCACTGCTTGGTGGAGATAGTACAGTGTAGGGTTCTTACCAGCTAGTCTGACAAATTTATAAAAGCAAATAGTAGTAGGTAGCAAAGGGAAAGAAGGTAAAACAGATTAAATACTTCTCATTGAAGTCTTTATAATTACCAACCGCAGGGCCATAATTCTACCCAACAAGTAGGTCACAGTGGTAAATCTGAGTGCCCGAAGTCAGGCTTCATTCCGTGCATCAGCCCGGTTTGCAAAGCTGCCTTACACTTAGAGCTCCTATTAGTTTCAGTGAGATTTTGTGGAGAGTTAGCACTTTTGAAAAAATCAGGCCATGTATATTTAGGCCTGAAAAGACAGATTTAGAAAACTTTTAAGCAGCCAGACTCGAACATTTTGCCTTACCTAACAAAGGAATCAAACAAGCAGCTCCTCAAAGGGGAGGCACCAAAGCCCTTCTCTCTGGAGAAGGACAATGACACAGGATATGTCCACACAGAGCTTTGCAGAGACAGCCAAGTTCACTCTCCTGTGCCTCAAGGACAGCAGATACAAGCCAGCTCCATCCAAAAGTGTGTTCCCCTTACAGGCATTAAAATGTCATGGTACTTTAGCTAGTAAGGACAGCCAGCTAGCCACCCACTCGGGCTTCATGCTGGCAGGACTACAGAGCTTCAGCTGGCTCAGAATAAGTGTAGGTGGTTGGTGTGGGCATATTTTTCATTGCCTGGCTGAACCTTTGCTTTTCTTTAAAAGAATCACATTGTTTCTTCATTTAAGGACTCAAATTTGTTTCAGAACAAGGTCAAGAGAAGTGGTAGAGATAAAAGTCCAAGACGAGAACATCAGAACTAAAGCAGCTTTCCTCTAATCTTTTGGCAAAAGAGAATACTTATTCAGAAAAACACCATCTATGAAGTATTTTGTTTATCTTTGTTTATTCTGCCAAATGACAAGGCAGCTTTTAGATAGTTTAATGCCAGCTGCAATTGCTTATCTTCATACAGAGAATTAAAGTAGGAAGTTAATACACTATTGGTCACTGAAATCATTGAGTACTGTAATTTGTCCCTAATTCTATCTTTTAAGGAGTAGCAATGCTTGAAGGACCGATGTATGCTGTTGGTGGCCATGATGGATGGAGTTACCTTAACACGGTAGAAAGATGGGACCCACAAGCACGGCAATGGAATTACGTTGCTAGCATGTCAACCCCTAGAAGCACCGTAGGGGTTGCAGCATTAAATAGCAAGTATGTCAACAGGAAAAGCTCTCTTTGGTTTTTCATTTGCTTCCTTCCTTGGAAACACAGTTTCTTAAATTTTGTTTTCAATCTTATAGTAATTAATCACCTCAGGAAAACAAAGAGAAAATATAATGCACAAATAAGAAAGGAAAGCTTTTCCTGTGTTGTGTGGTAAATTGTTTTCAAAATTGCAGTCATATTTTAAACATACTTAAGCCCTTTTAAGTTATAGCAATTTGATAGTGTTATTACATGCATAGCAGAATTTTACCTTGAACATAACTTATGGGGACAGCAGATGAGCTACTTTAAAAAATATTCAAAGTTTATGTTTACATTTTAAAATCACTGTGTCTATGGAAGCACAATTTGAAAGAATGTGTAGAGAATCAAAGTCATTCTTCTACCATTTTATATCTCCTGCATGCATCTACAGCTTTAACATATAAGCTCACAGGCAAGAGTAATTTTTAAAAGGTTAAAGGTATATGATGTGTTCAATAAAAGGAAGACAAATTTAATAACTAGGTATGGAATAAACAGCCTCCTATAAGTCTTATCCTACCCAGAGTTATTCTGCCCTTCCTCTATTGCTTAAATACACTGAGATCACGTGTTCACTGTACATTGGTTTTCTCAACAAGATTTTCAAGACTTATCTAAACATCCCCTTAAGACACTAAAGCCACACAAGCACTTTCACATGGGAACAGACACACTTATCAATCTACTGTGTAACCTGTAGTGTACAATGTGTTACACCTTGTCTATGTTCCAATTTGAAAGTAGTTGTATTTCAGCATGAGGAAGAACAATTAATAAATTAATGCCTAACAGAAATCTGTTTTTCTTCTTCAGCAACATAGCTTAGTGCCAAAAACACAAAAGCCTTGTAAAAGGTCCCAAGTCACGTTGGAGAGCATGGCTTGAGCCAACCTTCCTTCTTATTTAAATCTCTGGAAAGCACTTAGCAATGACAGTTTGTAGGGGCCAGGAATATTACAGTTGCAGGCAGACAACTGTATTTATCCCAAAACTTTATCACTGGCTTCCCTGTTCACTTCTTAAATTCCAGAAAAAGAGAAGGATAAAGAGCAGAAACAAAGAGGTCAGCAAACAGGTATTTGCAAAAGCAAAACTTCTTCACATCCAAGTCAGGGTTTTGCATTCAAACGTGACATGATCTTAACTATTAATTCAAAAGTCCAAGAACTGCCTGTTCAAGTCCCTGTTGTATCTCAGAGGAAATGCTCTCAGCATGAACTTCACCAGAAACTCCTGTTGGTACCTTCCACAGCAACATGCAGGAAACCACTTTGTCAAAGAGGAAATCCAGTCTGATCATGACTCTTCTCAATCACTGCTGATACAAGCTTTCTCCAGCCTGGCTCAAATCACGTCTGTTAGTCTAGTGATGTAATTTCTGGCATACCAGGGGAAGCCAAGATCAAATGTCCATCATTCAGTGCTATTGCTGTGGTCTAACCAAGAAGAATGCTAATCCTTTTCCTGTTTCCCTAGGTCACGCTATATTTTTTTCTATTCAATCCCACCAGAAATGACTTTACATTTCTGTGGAGTAAAACTTTTTGATCAATAAATGGTCTATTGAAAACATCACTCAATAGTGGTATATTTGTTCTTTTTCATTAGAGAATGGGAAACACTACCGTGTCTCTAGACACATTACAGAAAACAAAAAATCCCAACCAATCTGTTTGTATATACAGTGACTTCCTCTCTCTGTGAAAGCTGTGTAAACAAATAGTCTGTACCTAAAGGCATTATGTGAAAAGAAAAAAAAAAAATCAAATCCTCACGTTTTGTCAAGCAACAAACTGCACAACTGAACTCAAGTCTATCTTCTATTCACAAACATCAGAAGAGAGATTGATATTTTCTATTATTCTAGTAGTGGTCAAGAATTTTCTAGTTAAATTATACATCAGAGTAGTCTAAAAATTTTTCCAGTCACTGGAGAAAAACAAGCACTTCTCAAGCAAAATTCAACTGATCTGTTTTAGGTGTAGGAACACTTACAAGTCCACGTGTTCCCTAGTTCTCTAATATGTTGCACTAAGTAAATTCAATTTCATGGCAGTAAGTAATAGTCAGGATTTGAAAGGGAGCTGAACAACTGCCACACTCAACATCTAAACCTTTCTGCTATTACATATAGTATGCATGTTATCACAGTCTAGCAGCATCCAAGTTAGCTTGACATACAAAAAAATTCAGGCTTTGTAAAATGCATTGATAAAAAGCCACAAAACCCCCATACTTCTAGTGTATTTCCATCATTTATTCTTACATGTTGTCCCAACAGCAGCTGGTTTTAATCTCCAGTTGTTTGCTAAGTGTCTTTAAGCTGAACAAACAAGATGACATACCTGTAGGGTAACTTCTGTCCAGCAGATTTTCTTAAATACAAACACTGAGGAAAATATATTTGTATATTTTTGACATATGTTTTTGATGTGTAATTATATTATTAATGTTCTTTGACATATGAATAGTATAGGAAAAATGCTTAATGTAATACTAAGATGTCAAATACTCCATAAGCCTGTCTTAGGAAATATTACCCATATGTTTCAAACATATGTAGCATCTTTCAATTTAATTCCATCTATAGCTCATAGTTAAAGAAACTGACATGCATTTTTAACCTTAATTTTCAAGTGTGATTGCTTGAAAATTTGTACTGCCAATGAAGACTATGACTACGTTCGTATAGCATGCAAAACCCTCTGTGCAAAGAAAGCTCCAGAGTCAGATAGCAAATAATGGGCATGATGATAATTTTAAAGTGGTCTGAATGAAGTTAACCAAATAAAATTCCTACTAAAATGAGACACTAAAGACTGAAATTGTTTGCCTTCTTTTGGGTCATTATCCCAGACTGTATGCTGTTGGTGGACGAGATGGGAGCTCTTGCTTAAAGTCAATGGAATGTTTTGATCCGCACACAAACAAGTGGAGCCTGTGTGCTTCCATGTCCAAGAGAAGAGGTGGAGTTGGTGTTGCAACGCACAATGGGTTTTTATATGCTGTGGGAGGTCACGATGCACCCGCCTCCAACCACTGCTCTCGACTTTCTGACTGTGTAGAAAGGTAAGGATTTATTTTTCCACATTCCAGGCAGTAAATATAAAGTAATTTATAGCAGCAAAGGAAATCTCTTTACAATTGGAATGTTATGTTTGTGAAACATATTATTATTTTTAAAATCATATTTTGAGGAGAGTAACTGATTTTCAATGCTTTTGTGATAATAAAAAAATCAACCCTCAGAAGCAAATTCCTCTCTGCTCTCCCTTCTATTTGAGCTGCCCAGGAACCAGGTAAAGTCAGACAACTTAAAACGTAAGACAAATTCAACATGGGACCTTTATTTCTCAAGTGCCAAACCCCTGGTTGTTTGATGTATTGTAGGAACTAAATACTTTCCAGTTGTGTCTTCCTCCAATAATTTTGCTGATACTGACCAAAAGGTTAAAAATATAATAAATATCTCGTCCTCAAACAGGCAGTACTTACTACACAGGTATTTTCTGATGGAACTGATAGAAAGAGCCTTATTTCTGTAAGAAACTCTGTTACTATAGGAAAGCAGGCTGAAACATGTGCTAAGGGTCACATTTGGCAAGGAAAAAAAAAGTAAGCATGTACTAAAGAAAATACTTCACCTTGAATTCACACTTTAAATCTAAACAGCACATTAATACATTGGCCTAATGATTTTGGTAGCACACAGATATAAACAGTGAAAACCTGGCTTTATATCCATTTCTCATACAGTATTTTGATTTTAAAAGGTAATAACTTTATCTGATCCTTATTTAATCCCCCCTCCTTTTTTTTATTCTTCACTGATGAGCACAGTTGTTAAAATGCAAATTACCTGTTAGAAATAAAATCAACACTGATACAAAATACTGCTGTGCATTTTGTGTTACAAACTTTTTTCAACCATATGAGATATTTAATTTCTTTTACATTGAAATTTTCTGAAAGTGTTGATTAGGACAAGAAAGAGAAAACAAAAATCTTTATGGAGAAGGAAAAAAAAAATTGAAATTAACTTTGCTGAGTCAACTGATGGCCACGCTATCATTCCCCGAGGCCTCATTTATGCTCAAATGTATTGATTGCTTAACCTGATAGAAATGGAGAGACTGTAACCAAAAAGTGAAAATATTGGCATTTTTTATGTGTTAAGACCCCTCTAGTGGCTATATTAAATATTTAATTATATTGCTCTTAATTCTCTGTACTAGTTCATGATAGAAGTTGAATTACAATGCAGGAGAAATTAAGGAAATACCAGCCATTTAAATCTGAAATGTGTTTCTACAATGTATTTTTCTACTTTTGACCGTAAAACATCCTAGGTATGATCCTAAAACAGATGCTTGGACAACAGTGGCCCCCTTGAGTGTACCTCGGGATGCTGTTGGAATTTGTCCTCTGGGGGACAGACTATATGCCGTTGGGGGCTATGATGGCCATACGTACCTGGATACCGTGGAGTCCTACGATGCTCAAAATAACGAGTGGACAGAGGTAATAGGAAGAACGACCTAAGAAATAACAGGAATCCTTCCTGCAGACAGGAAGAATTCTGTCTGAATAATGGACAAAACCAAAATGATTATATTGTAAAATTATCACTGGTGGTGTCAAAATTATATATTGGGATGCAGTAATACTGCAGTTGGGCTTATAGCAAATATTGGTTGCCTCTCCTGTGAAATAACTGTATAAAATTTTTTGGACTAAAAGGTGAAGGCAGCGCATGAGCAAGTGAACTGGGTTGTACAACTCATATTGTGCTGTGGAACTGGCTGTTGCTGGTGCTGCCAAGCCTTGGCCAGCAATGCCATCTGCTGGGGACACTCCCAAACCTTCCTGCTTACGACCAATTCCATTGAGTCCAAGAGGAAATATTTGAGACTGTCAAGATCTTTTTGTAGGGACACAGTCCACGTTTTTGGAACACAGGATATAAAGGTCTCTTATAAAACTTAAGAGCAACAATACCAGCCTGCACTCCTGTAACTCTCAGCAGCTGCTGAAGCCTTTTCCCAAAAATCCAAACCTGTATTTTCAGAGCCTTAGTTAAATCTATTTTTTTTAGCAGTACATTACTTTGAATAAACAAATTTGTTTCTTTCTAACTGGCAAGTAATTTCTTCTAGTCCTATTCATAAGACTCTACTAAAAATGCTTCCTCCGTCTTCTTTTCCTTTTTTTAGGAAGTTCCTGTCAATATTGGAAGGGCTGGAGCGTGTGTTGTTGTTGTGAAGTTGCCCTGATGACCACAAATTTTTGAAAACAAACTTTGAGTGGAGTTTCATGAAGATAAGAAACATTTCCAGAAAGCAGTACAGACTCTACACATCTTAGCAGCTCTCCATTGTAGAGAATATTTATCTCCGAGCCATTATGCTATTAGAGCACAAAAGTGTCTTCCTGCATTACAGAAATCAGAGAATTTTGCAGAAGTGAATTATTTTATTATGCCTACTAAAAAAAAAAAATATTAAAAAAATCAATAAGGTGTTTAAATGGTTCAGGTTTGTTACAAAAGTGTATCTGTTATTTATAAAATGGTAGTAAAGTGATAAATGGGTGTATAAGATTTCATAAACTTTTTCTTTTCTATGTTGGCAGTAATGAAAATGTTTATAAAAAGGGCTTTTATATTTTAAGTAAATGAAAATGAATAAGAGAGAAACACCTTCAACAGAGAACTGCACAGTAGGAAATATTTGCCCATAAATATAACTGGAAACAGAATATTCTCTACAGAATTAAATTAATTTCTATATCCAGAAATTAAATTATTAAATTAACTTTAAAATCAAATCAGAGAAGCACAGAATTTGATTGCTCGTCAACCTCTGGCATTGCCAGTGCTGTGAGAGAATACCCATTTTTAGTGGTATTTTTAGTTGAACAGTGCAAGTTAAGATGTAGTAGGGCTAAGGTATCTTTATGTTATTAAGTATGTGCCAACAGAAAGAAAACTTTTGTCAAAACACAATGCTAATATAATTTGCAATCATTTTCACAGTGCATAGATATGTGATATAATGCTGTCAGGTTATTCATGGATTTGTCTATGCCCACTAACCATCTGTCAGTATGCGTTAAACTAATTTGACTATTCTTGGGATAATCACCATGCATTAAATTTAAAACAATCATAGAACTACATTCCTTGAATATAACTTACAAAATGAATTTTTTATATCATATTGATATGACAATCTTTGACCTCAGCTGAAGATTACCAGCTTTCTCTCATGTACAGTAGAAATATGGTAAGAAAAAAACCCACATCCACTGTGTAACGTTACGTACCATTTCTATAAGCATGTTTATGTTTTATTTGAAATTAAGGAAATGCTAACAATCAAGAATGGACAGGAAAAGAATCACCTGAGAACACCACATAATATTCCACACGCATGATGGTTTTCTGTTGGTGTGCCAATTTCTAATGAAGGTTTTGATTTGTTTTGCATTGATTTAATTTTTTTATAATTTCAAATGCTGAAAGTGTATTTTAGAAAAAGAATGTATGTAAGATATTCTATGCTGTAAAGCACAATATCTGGACAGTATCTACTTCAGTGTTTGTTATGTTGTCACTTTGTCAGTATCAGAAAAACTAAGGACAGAGATGAAAATTTTCTGAACATGTAGACTGACCTTCCTGATAGAATACTGTGTTTTCAGAATTCAGCAATATGCTGTTTTAAACAATTTGTAGTATTAATCCTATTGAATGCTTCTACAGATGGAATCACATAAGCATATTTATAAAAGGAAAAGCATTTTTAACTTTAAAAATCAATTATGTTTATATATAGCATGCTACATTAAAATAAACTTTACTTTCTCTGCTAAGAAAATTTACAATATATTTTAACAACTTGGTGAGTTTTATTTTACATCTTTTCAAGACTAGAAAACAGAAGTATCAATTTCTTTTTTTGTACTCTAAAAGAACAGAAGATTCTGTTTTAGTGTCCTTACTGCATCTAGTCCACATAAACTAAAATGTTGCTAAAAAGAAGTGCTAGAAGGAAGGTGAAGTTCATCTTTTTTCTTTCTTTGAGTCCAAACGAGTCACCAATACTGTCCTGTCAGGATGCCCTTTCTGTGAAAGGGGCTCACACACCCCAGCCCTTGGAACCCTGGGTTGATTGTCTGCAGATGGCTGAAAGTACAGCACATTTTAAGATTATTTATTTTATAGCCATTACATGAGGCTGCCCTACAATAGATACTTCTCAGTGTACCAGCTTAGAACTATCTTCATTTAGTGGTGAATTTCTACATCAACGTGCAATCCTCTTGCTAGCTTGGTGGGCCAGGAAACAGACTTGATTTCATGACGATTTTCATTTACTAAATGTTTTTGTGAAGGAAAAAAAAAACCAAACCAAAACCCACAAAAAACTCCCACCAACTCAAAACAACACAAAGAGCCAAGCAAACTGGGAACAAAGCTTAAACCAGCTAGTGGGTTTCGAGTTAGAGAATTCACATTAGAGAAGGAAAGTATTTCTATTTTCCAACAAATCAATAATCTGAAGCAAATATGAGGGGGCTAGCCACCAAGCTTGACAGAGAATCTGCCTAGGAAGTCATTTGTGAATGGGAGGTAGATGTTAATTTTATCTCTCCTTCTCCCCTGTCCTATCTGCCTGTCTGCCTGCCTACCTGGAACATCTTTTTGTAGCAAATAGTAACTGTAAAACATTCATAATAAAAATACTAATGTATTTGCCCTGCTGATCATCATGCCTCCTTTGATCAAGCAACAGCCATGTGTGCTCCTTTATATAAATAAAGACTTGTGTGGATCAGAGGGAGAGGGGCACTACTGATAATGCTTCGGGCTCTGATTCGTGCTTTTCTCATCTTCTTTGGTAAGAGCACATTGCTGTTTCCAGTAACCACTATAACCTCATTTATTCTACTTTTGTTTGGAAAGCACTGATATTGAAGGCCCATTTTTAAAACTCTAAAATACAAATTATACAAACAATGTGCAATTAATGTCAAGATATGTACAACAGAATAGCCACTGATAAACTGGCAATACCAATGGGTCTTTCTCATAGAGCCTTTGCATGGAATTTGAAGTTTGCTCGGAGTAAAAGGCGGCACACAGACTCAAGTGAGAGAAAGCAGGCATGGCTCCTCAGCTAGCAGAGTGGTTTACAAAATATAAAGCCATACCTGAAAACCTAATCAAGTCTACAGTAAGAAAAGAAAATGAAGACTCGAGTATAGAACAGGTCAGGTTTGAAGAAGAGAAACTGTGGGTGAGTACCTTAATGCAAACACATGGGACCAACCTTGGAGAGCTGCGTGGCTGCAAGTGTTACGACTGCAGAGATGACATAGAATTCCCCTGCCTTTGTCCCCTCCTTCATCTTGCAAATGTTATTAAATGCTTTACCAGTAAACAAGGTATGAGACACTTAGGAAAAACACCTAGATATAAACAATCCCCTTAAACAGATCTGTCAATATACTGTCATCTCCACAGTTCAATCAAGTATCAAAAAGAGTGTTAGAAGCAAATGACACTTTCTGTATTTCTTTACTGTTAATTGGAGCATTCTTATAGCTTGCAGCATGCAGCTCCATCTATTTGTATTCAATAGCTCTTCCTACCATGAACCACAACCACTGAGTAGAGTATGAGAATATTTGCATGTGTGTGTTACGTGATGAGACAGCCTACTAATTTCTATGGCAAGGCTGTGGTAACTATTACACTTCCTAAATTTTAAGTTTAAGGCTGTAACTTGTTATAGAAACAACATAAAAATACAGGTAAGGGGACAAAGGAAAAGATGAGAAGGGTGTGAAGCGGAGAAAAGTCAGAGAGCAATCTGATTGTGACCTTATAAATTAAAGCAGTCAGCTTGGGGGAAGAACGAATTTAAAAAGCACATGTGGAGAACTAGTTCTGCATGTCCCACTCCTTGAATAAAAACTCAAGCTTCAGTCTCTGTCTGGAGACACTGAGATTTCAGCCACTGAGGTGCCATGGAGAGCAGAAGTGGTGAAGTATCTGCTTCTTCAGACGGTACTTTTACGTGCAGCTGTACAGCTGGGAATTAGGTTGTGCACAGGCTGGCACCCCTGTTTGAAGCTGTTCATATGAAAGTTCATTTCAACTTGTAAAGAATAAGAGGAATATTACACATTCATATTCTAATTAATTTCAAAATAATCTATTTTAGGATGAAATAGTGACAAGGATTATGAGATTAAAATCTTAAGTGCTAGAAAACATCAAAATGAAATTTGATTAGATACTTGAATTTAAGCAATAAAATGGCACAACTGAATTTTCTAGAGAAAGCAGGTCTTTAGTACTGAAGTTTGTTTTAGGTTTTTTTTTTTTTCTTCCACATTATTTTTACAGCACTGAAAAATCATGTGAAAGGAAATCAGCAATTCAAAAAAGGAAACTGGACACCTAACAGGAAGATAGAAGAAAAGCAAACTGGAGAGATTTTGGAGATGTTTAGACATTATTAGGTGAGAGGAAATGCCAGAGATCCTCTCTGATGAGGTGTCATCCCTTCACATTTCCTCTGCTTCTCCAAACATGAGTAGGTGCAATAGTTATGTAGCATCTTTGCTTACTGGGTACCCTGACAGCTTCACGCACAGCTGGCTCGCTTGCAAAGTGCGGGAAAGAGCCACCCTCTCCTATCTCTGATCTTGTACTGCTCTGTGCTTTTCATCATGACACTCTCTGGCAGAATGACTATTATTTGTGCGATTTCTTTTTTCCCTAAATAATTGTGTTTTCTTTCTTTTTAAGCCCTGGCCTTTAAACCACCTCTTTGAACTGTGTGATAATCTCTACATGAACTGGACCAGCAATGATATTTTATATAATGTAATGTATGGGAAGCAGAGATGCCACTTACCTCATGAAATCAGTTCTGGGGAAGACTGAAGGTTCAGCTTAACCACTATCATGTCTCTATCTACCAGCAGGAAATATTTAGGCAAGGAGCTTGAGAACCAACTAGCCCAGAAAACCCCTCTCTGTTGCTGTAGCAATGTTACTTTCCATAATATAACTGCATTACTGGAACGTTTATCTTCCTAACACATCTCCAAGGTAGGAAAGCAGTACTACAGTGGTTTACAATTGTCACAATAAAAACCAACTATTTCCCTGGCACCAGAGCAGAAAATAATACATTAAGGGAAAGACTTAGGCCCAATTATTTCAACACCCAGATCATTTAATAGGTTAGTCTGTTTTGGACAGCATCTCCGTGAAGCCAACAAGATCTGAAGCTTAACTGAGCTACCTAGTCAACTAGCTCCTGCTGCCACCTTCTCTTATTTCTGCCTTCTTGGTTCTGGA